TATTTTACATATTATGTTTTTCCCTCTCTAATATTTTACTAAAAAATAATTAGTAACAAACAAAACATTAAATTTCTTGCTTATTAACATTAATTAAATGAAATATTTAGCAGTTCTCTCGCTCTCTTTGCAACTGAAACATTTTTATGCAACTGAATTCCACATTGAAACTATTTAATTTAATTTTAAAAAGCTTTTTGGCTTTTTACTCCAACGACAAACAACAAAACAAACAAAAGCCAATTAACGTAAACTAATTGCAACAGAAATAGGCAAATTAGTTAAGGGCAGACCTTTTCGGCGTATACCCTGTCGTGCATTGTACTCAGAATAGGGTATACACGAATCTATGTAACAGTTATAGCAGAGTAACTAGATCCAACTGTCCTCCTGAGTATAAGAGTTTAAGTATAAATTGTATAAGAGTATACTGAATAAGAGTATAAGAGTATACGGGTACTGAATAAGTATAAACAACAGACAACTCTATTGCCTTGTCTATGTACTACTCTATGTGTCCCTTGTGTCCCTCATCACAGCGACATCCGTTCAGCCTGAAGTGCGGACAGGGTATTCCCTAGTCAGTCTTCAGTTGGACTAGACCACTCTTACTTGCTAGCCATAAAATGGTGTCATTAAACAGATACGAAATTAGCATGAATTAGATAAGAGGCCTTAGCATTACGCAAATATAAGCCAGCATAAGCCCAGAGAGTGGGACTGTTTAATGAGTCACCATAAAACAGATTCGCGCAGCTTTAATCCTGTGGAATGTCTGTCGGTTTGCTGAAAATTTAAAATCAAATGATTAATTATATTTATGTATTTATTTAAAATGTCAGACAAGTCAGACGTTGACGCATTTAGCTAATTGCATAAATGCCAATTCGAAATAGTTGTTTAGTTAAGTCATTAAAGACAGGTCTACGGATACGTTTGTCTATATAAAACACATAGAGTTCTAAGCTCTGAACGGAACACGCGCCTCATAAAGTTCAGCTCTGATTTGTGCATAATCCCAGGCCTTTTTCTATCATTTCAACATCATCAAAAGGCCATAACCAGAAATCCAATTCACAAGAAACCAAAACAAAAGGAAGAAGATTTGATAAATGCGAAAGCCACAATTTAGATAAGTTTTTTGTCAGTTTGATTTCGTCATATGTTTCACACATGTTTCACGCTCTCCGCTGTGGGCGTTGACATTTGAGGGCATCGAAAGTGAGGAAGAGGAAAGTGAGGAAGAGGGAAGTGAGCTGGCACGCAACAATAACATATGGAATAGCCCTCGCAACAATATATCTATGGGAATGAATGAAACGAGAAGTGTGTCAACTCTCGTTGAGTCCATTTAAAAATATATTTATATATATATGTGAATGATAGGCACTGTGAGCCTTTGTCTTAAATCAAATCGAACACAAAAACCTAAAATTAACTTATCGATTTTTTCCTTAAAATTCCATTTGTCATATGCTTCACACATGTTGCGCTCTTGTTGTAGGCGTCGACTCAAAAGGCAACGTCAAGTTGCACCTAATTCACTGAGCTAATATATCAAGTAGATCTCGCATCTATGTATCAAAAATACATTTGGCATATGCAAAGCCTGAAATTGGACAAGTTTATAGTGCATATAATAAATATGTAAAGCAGCCCTCGCATAAAGAATTTACTTATCAAAATTCAAATTCGAATCTTTATCAACTCAAATTATAGATATTGCTGAGATAGAAAGAGTTATTTAACTGGTTTAGTTTATGTAACTTTTCAAACAGCCCTCGCCTCTTATACAAATTTACTAATAATACTATTTATAGACTATACTCTACATATATAGACTTTGCCTAAATATAGAAACAGTCTGTCAATATTTATAGCAACTTCAGAAATAGCCCTCGCAGTCACATTTTTCGTTGTTGTTTTTGTTGTTGTTGCTGTTGTCTCTAACGCCCTCAACTCTTGTAAAATTAGCAACTGTGGTTGCAAATTGCGGTTGTGCGGCGGTTTGCTGTGGTTGCGTCTGGCTGCTGTTTGCAGTGCGTCAATATTTCAATATTGCGAGTCTTTCAATTTGGCAAATTGGTTTAACACATTCCAATTGAACTGCAGCCGCATAATTAATTCACAGATTTGATCATTTGCAATATAATAATCACATAATCACATTTGACACTTGGACGACTCCCACAATAATTCGATTGCAAATATATTTAAGCTCTCTGTCTATATATAGCCTCGGCATAGAGATGCGTCAGATGGCGTCAGCTGTTTATAAATATATATTAAATATATAGAAAACAATTAAGAGAGTTGTGGAGAGTTATGGGTGTGCTCGACTAGCTGATACCCCCACACGACTGAATAGACTCTTGCACACAGGCGAGCAAGGCTAGATCGAATCGATGCCTTATGCGAAATCTTATACTCGAGTACGTGATGCTAAGACTCGGACACTCTGGTACTCTATATATTAGAGCTACAAATCGAGAAGAATCTCATCGGAAAGGCACTTTATATGTGTGTAAACTGTTCAATTCTCACATGGACAAACCGTACTCGCGCCCAATACTCTCTTATACTCGTACGTTATCATACGATCATACCCAAGGGCCTGAGTCTACCAGACACTCGAAGGCATCTATATATACTCAACGATTGATGCTTACACTCTTATAGTCCTATACAGACTTCGATATAGAGACTTAAAGACAGAGTTCGATCTGTTCGACTCTTGAGCCTAAAATTCGTATACCCTCATATTCTTGTGCATTCATGTTCTTATGCATACCGACAGATCTACTCTTATACTCTCTTATATCGAAGTTAGCTTAGCAATGGACCTAGTTCAATAATAAAATTTAGGCCATGCCTTCATCTCACATTCTAACAGAAATGAATATACCCCGATTGACTACACTACAATGAGTTCGAGAGTATCGAAATATTTATTTCTATTCATAAAACTTGAGCACATTATGAAGAAATTCAGCGGACTCAAGTTGAAATTGTGACGTCACTTGTGGCCATTGAACAAAATCAATTAATTAGCTAATAAACGAGGCTCGCATGCAGCGACTTAAATATGGAAATATTGGAAAGGGGTGAGCAGAGGGGGATTGGGTGGGAGTAACACAATGCCAAACAAAAACGAAGAAGGAGAAGCAGAAGGAGAAACAATGCCAACGCGAAAATTGTTGCACTGTTAAAATACTTAAAATGCATTGCGCGTATTTGTTGCATGTTTAATTTATATTGTATTTTTAAACAGTAAACTCTGCTTAATTTGAACAGCTGATGGCGCGAAAAACCAGCTAGCAACTAAAATATAGATGAAATAAAAGGCACTGCAAGTGAGTATCAGCCAGTTGATCTTATTTTACAAGAGCTGCAGCCATTAAATTCCCAACTGGTTACAGTTTCGCAAGGCGAAGACAAGAGAGGAGTAGATGATAGTGAAGTCAGCTGATGCTAGAACCGGGAAGTTCTCGGAATAATTAAACAAAAAATCTGCCCACTTTTATGCATCTAAACTTGCTAATTGAAGATTTTATGTCATATTATGATGTGGCTAAAATACATACGGGGTATATATAGTCTCTATGAATATCGACATATTATATAAGATTGTTTAAATAAGGCAGACTTTACTGTATTGGCTTTAGCTGAAGCCAATAATTTAAAATGCCGTCTGGCTCTTCAGCTGATATCAGATTGTATAAATATATCTCTTGCATATCTTTATCTCACATATACATATATACACACATTTATATGCCTTACAAATACTTCAGTTCTTAAACACAATTATTTGGAAGCTTTTGTATCGGAATTCGCAGACCGCTTTAAATAAGTGAAAGGGTCGTCGAACCGGAATTCGTAAAAAAAAACAATAATAATAATCA